ATGTCTTAAGCTCAGGCTGTTGTCTGATGATATTGGTTTCTGTCTGAAAGAGTCCATTTAATTTTTATTTTAAGGTTGGTCTGCTTTTTTACAAATTCCCTTAATTTCTGTTTATCTGCAAATGTCCTAGTTTTTCCATTGTATTTGACAGTTTTCCTGGATATGTAATTCTTGCTTGCCAATTTTTTTGTTTCACAGTTTTATATATATCACTCTATTGTTCTCCTGCCTGTATGGGTTCTGTCAAGAATCAGAGCTTAGTCTTATTGATTCCCCTTTGTAGGTAACATTTTGCTGCTCTCTGGATTCTTTGTGTTGGTTTTAGAAAGTTTGATTATGTTATGTCTTGGTGATATTCTTTTGGTATCTATACTATATACTGTTCATTGAGCTTCTTGGATAGATACATTCTTATCTTTCATGATATTAGGGAAATTCTCTGCCAGCAAATCTTCAAAATTTCTCACTGTGCTTTTTTCTTGGTTTCTTCCTGTTATGGAGTTCCAATCATGTGCAGATTGCTCCTCTTGATAAGGTCCCACATAACTTTTAGGCTTTCTTCTTCATCTTCATTCTTATTTTCTGATTGTTCCTCAAACAATTAGTCTCAAGGGATTTGCCCTGTATTTCACTGATTCTATCTTCCATTACTTCAATTCCACTCCTATATATCTTCATTGAGTTACCTATTTCTGAAATTTAATACAGATTTTATTCAAATATTGTGGTGTAGTAAATTACTTAGTGTGGCTTTTCTACACATAAGTCTTTGTAAACTCCAAGGTGGGATTTGCTATGAGCAACTGAGGAGCTCCTGATTGCTGAAGTTGTCCACCTGGAGTATTTCTGTTGGGAGTGGCACAAAACAATGTTCTGGGAGGTGCCCACTCTCTCTCAAGTGCTTAGAGTTCTGATGCTATGATTGGCTAGTTTGACCACTCTGCCAGGCTCAAAAGGAGGCCTCCTAGAGGCAGAACTCTATCTGACTGCTGGTTGAGGAAGACATGCTGCTGAAAGAGACACGGGCTCCTGAGACACACGTTACTGGTAAAGAGATGCAAGAGACACGCATTGCTGAGTGAGACACCGAGGGACCAGCCCTGCTGGGAAAGAGACTGTGATAGACTCTTGGCTGAGGGACGGTGGGCTGGGAGAGAGACTGAGCATTTTTCCTGAACTAGAATTGTAGCCTGTGGTATTTCCCTAATAAACCCCATAATCTGTGAGCTCTGTGTGGCCACTGCAGGGAATTATGAAACCCAGGAGAGAGGTGGTGGTGCTTTGGGAGGAATGGTTGGAGAAAGGGCTGGAGGGAGGCAGCATGTCTGGCCTGGCAGGAATAGGTCTTGCACTATTGATGGTGATTCTGCCTTCCTCTTGTGAGGTTCTAGGAGTCAGAACATGTGGCCTCCTTGCCCTTTTTGCAAATATTTTGGATTCCTGGTTGCTGTTTTTATATGGTTTCTAATTGTCTGCTTATTTTGTCACTTTGCTCTTGTATTGTTTCCCTGGATTCTTCTAGGGTTCTGACTATGTTTTCCTTGATTTTGTCAGCTTTCTTTGATCTCTTGGAGAGTCATATACATACATACATATATATGTGTGTGTATATATATATACATATACATACACATATACATACACATATACATATACATATATATATATAGGAGCTCTGGTAGCGTAGTACCTAAGGCACTTGACTGCTAACCAGAAAGCTTGCGGTTTGCAAATTATTTATCTAAGTTGGTATCTAGCTGCATCCATCACAGGTCTTAATCTCAGGCTGTTGTCTGATGATTGGCAAGCAAGAATTACATATCCAGGAAAACTGTCAAATACAATGGAAAAATTAGGACATTTGCAGATAAACAGAAGCCACTCCTCAGAAGGAAGATTGGGCAATCTACTTCCATAGTGATATCACCTTGGAAACCCAAGGAGGGGTCACTATGAGTCGGGTCCAACTCGACAGCACATAACAACAACAACAACACAAATATATATATATATATATATATATACACACACACACACTAAAACACATATATGCATATATATACACTCACTGCCATTGAGTAGGGTTCCGACTCATAGCAACCATTGGGTTTCCAAGGCAATAAATCTTCATGGAAGTAGATTATCTCATCTTTCCTTCTGCAGAGAAGCTGGTGAGTTTGGACTGCCAGCCTTCTGGTTATCAGTCAAATGCCTTAGGTACTATGCCACCAGAGCTCCATATGTGTGTGTGTGTGTGTGTGTGTGTGTGTTTTGAATTCCTTATTAGATAGTTCTATTATCATTTCTTTCTCATAAAAAATATTCTGGCCCTTTATTTTGATCACTTGCTTGAGCCATCCTGTCCTGCTTCTTTATAGGATTTAATATTGTCTGTTGTTTCTAAGATATTAAGGCATTATTTTACTTATTGATTGATCATGTTTGTTTGCTTTGTCCTGATTTTTTGTTTAATTTTGTTTTGATATATTTGGGTGGACAGAGCAGGCATGCTATGCTGGTTACTAGACTCACATCACTACAGCATTCCTCACCTGTCTCTGGGTGGCTGGAGCTGGCAGTAGGATCCTGGGTCTCTGTTCCCTGGTTGTGCAGCATGGCTGAAAGTGGGCTTGGCAAGCTTTAGCTGCTTTTGGTCACTGGTCAGTGGCATGGGAGGGGGCAACGTTGCTTGTTGAGTAGGTGAGGTGAAGGATGTGTTGGGTGTTTGGGCAAGCAGGGGTTTGGGAATGAGTTCTCTTCTGCTTGCCAGGTAGACAGACAGGGGTGGATTGTAGGGGAGGGAAGCAAGGGAGCATGCACTCTGCCTACCCAGATTAAGAAGGTGGTTGGTGTGCTTGTAGAAGCATAATTGCTGCTGCTCACCAGGTTGAGAGTGTAGGAGATGGGCAGTCAAGCTCATGGCAGTGCATGGCTGTCACTGCTCATTGGTTCAGGGCAGTGGGAGGTGGGTGAGTGAGTATGCATGATGGAACTGTTTGCTGGGTTAAGGGGTTGGAAGGTGCATAGACGTGTATGCAAGGGACGGGTGTCTGGCAGGCTTGCAAGTGAGTGGTAGCATGTGGTCATCACTTGTCAGGTTGAGGGAGTAAGAGGCAGGTGGGATCTGTCCACAATCAACTGTGTAGGAGAGTGTTGCCTGGACTCTGGTCAGGTCAAAAACCTACCGTTCATGATTTATGCATTTATTATTTCATGCTTGTCACCTTAATGGTCTGGGACTGCCGCTCCTTAGTTTAGCTGAGTCTGGATCATGGCTCCCTCCCTACTCTGTGAGCACCAGGATCCCTGAAACTCTTCCCTTCCTTCTCGTATTTTCCCTCCTTAGATCCAGGTCATACTACACTCACCTTACTTCCTTTTGGGTGTGTCTACACAGGTTCTCTGTGACTGATTGAGAAAGCTGTGAATTTGCTGTCCTATTCTTTTCTCCTGAGCTTGCCACTGGCTTTGTCTCAACATGGCCATGCTGAACCAAACAGACAGATGGCAGAGGACTTGTGCTCCCTATCATTCCTCAGTTGATGTGTTCTTTCAATTCCTTCTTCTAGTACATATTCAATTCTATTCTTTATCCTTCTATTTGATCTTCAGAGTTCCAGGACTGTCTTCTGTATCTGTTTCACTTGGTTACTGAGGTCTTTGTTGTAGAAGGATGGCATGGTGTATCTGACAAGCCACTATGTTGGCCCCTTTCCCCAATATTTCAAAATTATATGTGCTGTCCTCTACACATCTTACCACTATGCTTATTCAAATTCTATTCATCACCAACAAACCTATTGAAAAACCTCCATTCTGACCTTGGTGATTCCAGCTTTATCCTCCAAAGGAGTCAGAGTGATCCTTCTTAAAACTTCTCAATGGCTATATACTATCTGTAGACTAAAAATCAATCTCTTTATTATATAGAATATCCTCTATGTCTAGTCTCTGACTCGATGGCACATAACAACAACAACAACAACCTCATCATTAACATTTTAAAAACTTGGAATCTGGTTTTCCACACACCTGTTTCATAGCTCAGTCTTTTTATTCATCCAGTCAATCTTCCTGGAATAGTCTTTCCACCCTTATTTACTTGTGTTCAGTTTTGGAAAGTTTGATTATGATTATGATTATGATTATGATTATGATATCAGACTCATATTCAGCTCAGGTATCACTTTATTAAAATTATCTCTTTACTTTTCTCTTTTACTTGTTAGAATGTAAGTACTTTGAGGACAAATATAATGCATTATTGAACTCTTTTTACCTCTCGTCTTTTATATAGTGCTAGTTTGGGAGCTCTGGTAGCATAGTGGCTAAGGCACTTGACTGCTAACCAGAAGGCTGACGGTTCACACCCACCAGCCACTCCTCTCCTCGGAAGGAAGGTTGGGCAATCCTACTTCTGTAGTGATACTGCCTCAGAAACCAAAGGAGGGGTCACTATGAGTCAGGGCTGACTCGACGGCACATAACAACAACAACAGTTTTAGAGCAGATGATAATTAAATTAAATGTTTGGTGACAAAAATACAGATTTATATATTTAGCAGTAAATAAATCTTATTTATTACTGAATTGTTAGAACAAAACTTAAGAAGGATCTTGTTTCCAAAATATACTTTTATTTCCTAATGAAATTGTGGGCATCACAAAAATAACCAGATGAGCTTCATCACTGCATGCTTTCTCAAAAATTCACTTTCTACAATTTAAAGGAAATATTTTTATAAAATGCCTACTTAAATCTTCTTTTGCATTTCACAACACTGTAATCTTTCAATTAAGAAGCAAGATAAACATTAAAAGTCTAAGTACTAACAAATCCCCAAGACTTAAAAGTTTTTCAGTCTGTTCATGTCTAATTCAAATATCATGCATTTTATCATAATAATATGATTTGACTATAGTTACTTTCCTGAAAAATCTCTATTAATAGTCATAAGGATGATATTCTTATTGTAATCTTGTTAGAACTGATTTCTCACCTTACACAGAAGTCGAACTTCACATTCTTCTGTAACATCCCAGTGCAAATACTCAGCAAAATGAGGACCTAAGGGAAAGAAGGGAAGACAGTAAGTAAAATAACAAAAAAAAAGTATTTTTATAACTATTAAGTTTTAAAAAATAAAAATAGATAGATATCTGCATGTATTTTTTGCAGATGAATATAGCTGCATAGTATGAAACCAAAATAATTAATTAGCATAGTGCCTAAGGCACTTGAGTGCTAACCAGAGGGCCGGCAGTTCAAACCCACCAGCCACTCCTCGGAAGGAAGATAGGGCAATCTACTTCCATAGTGATACTGCCTCGGAAACCCAAGGAGGGGTTGCTATGAGTCGGGTCTGACTCCACGGCACATAACCACAACAACAACAATTAAGTCCAGATGTGTATATACTAATTCCTCACTGGACTCTCTGCATTTCCTTGTAGGAATATACTGGCTGATCATTCCTTCCTGCAAAGATTTTGAATCAAAATATTAATCTTTTTTAAATTTAAAATGAATGTAGAAGTAAACAACATACTAATAAAAATGCCATCACTCCATTCAACATAAAAATAGCAGATTTAAAAGTAAATATAATTCACTCCTCAAAATAGGTAAAATTAATAATGTGAAAATTAGTAAAATAAATAAACTATTGACTATTTAGATAAAATTTTAAAACAATGAAAAATAGTAACTGTCTTGGTTTTATATTTTACAAATAACATAAAATCCCATGTATAAAAAAATTCTTTAAATAAACCTTTGGATTATGTTTGAAATTCTGAACTTCACACATTTTTCTTTATCTAGTTAATATGTATTTTACATAAAGAATATATATATGATATCATTTTAAGTAGAATAAACAAATCCCTGGCAATTGGTATAACTTCTATTGTCTTCTCTAACGTTCAAAATCTAATAAAGCTCTAACCCATCCACCCCCATTTTTTGTTTATTCTTTTAATTGTCAAAATTCTTAAAATTCATCAGACAATTAAGAGACATCTTTCATTTATTACTACCCAGTTGTAAAGTTCCTTTAATGTCCTTTTGGTAAGAACTGAATATCTATTCCACGTTCAGCACTGTAAAAGTGTTATGGGTGCTACAAAAGATATAGAAAAACTAGCTTCAATCCTCAAGGGTTCCAAGTAATATTAAACTCCAAAATAAATAAAATTAAACTCCAAGTAATATTAAACTTCATGGTGACCAAGCATGCTACAGAAGATCATAGAAACAAGGAGCCAGTAGGGATGCATGTAGTCAGAGAAGGCTACAGGGAGAAGCAAAGAACTGCTCTGGACTTTGAATAAAGACTTGATTTGAAAAAGTGGCCATTGCAGTGTTTTCCAAAATGACAAGAGTACAGAATGACATAAGTAGACATGATGAAAAGGAGAATGTTAAAGAAATCAGTCTGACTCATCAGGAAAGTAGTAGTGGAGCATGATACAATTTGGTTAAGCATGATACAATTTGGTTAAGCAGGGTAAACTCAGATTATGGAAAGTCTTAGAAGTCAGAAAGCATTGTCTAAATTTATCTCATAGGCCATATGAAGTTATTAATGTTTTTAAACAAAGAAGCACATAAAAGAACTAAGTGCTTGGAAAGATTTATCTCCCAGCAATGTATAGTACTACAGGGCCTGGTAAGACTGATTATTTTGTTAGCTAAGATAATAACAAGAAATAAGAAAATTAATCAATAGATTGCAGGGCTCTTTATTAAAGGTAGAAACAACAACAACAACAAAAGTACTGATGAAATTAATGTACAGGGCAAAAAACAGAAAAGTATCACATTTCAACAGCTAAGAAATTTGACCATTTAAAATAGCATTTAGAATCTTGTCACTATATAGGATCTACTTTAAACACATATTCAAAGCATAAGTCTGTTTTTTGCTAGTGGTGAATAAGCAACTCAACTGCTTACCTTGTTTCCTGAGAAATTCTTTTCTGTAAAATTCAGCCTCCTCTAGGGCAGCCTTGAATGCTAAATTCAATATTTAAAGAAAAACGATATAAAGTCTGTTTGGTTCTGTCTAGTCAAAAGAATTTCTTTGAATTATCTTTTATGAACGTGAAAATATTCAATATAGCATACCATCTCCAATAAGAACCAGAGAAGATTGATTTTTGGCTTTTCCATCATGAATCTGAACAGTGTAAGTACCTTCATTTTCAATAGTAAATCGATCCATTACCATTTCTATAATGCCAGTTGATTTATCACATTTAATTCTGTGTGTCTGGAAGCAATAAGGGAAATACAGAATTACACAGTGATATTCTTTCTTTTAGTTTATCTCTTGACACTTAGTAGTGGCTTCAATTGTTATATCTTAAAAAATTGTGGCACAAAAACTCAAAATAAAACTTTAGCTATGAATTCTCTTGTGAATGAAAGAGAAAATAAGAAATACAAATTTCATTCATGGTGATAAAGTCCTATTTCTGTGTGGGAACTACACAAAGCCTAAATAACTCAAGGTATACTCCCAGCAATAGCACTATAATTCCCCCAGAATAAGCATCTAAGATAAAATAATTAAATACATTGAAGAAAATAAAATGATTTAGCTGATAGTCTAACACAATTTGATTATAAAGCCACACATACAGAAATCTTCATAAGCATTGTCCCTGTCTGCTCCCAAGGACCCCAGCAACTGTAACATGAGAATTGCTGCTCATATTTAAGTAGTGCAAGAGAGTACTGAGGCAACTTCAGATAGGTCTTGTGATTTTTTTATCACTCTTTGACTTGTAATATGTTACAGATTGCAAAATATAATATGGCATAGGCTACAAATGGTCTGGTTTACCTACCTATTCTACTCTCCATAGAATCATAACATTTTCAGTCCTAACATTTTTCATTTCATTGAACCTACCATTGTTCCTCTCATTTCTAACCTTAGTACAGATTTCTTCACCACCTGGAACATCTTCTCTCCACTCTCACCATAGTTATTTTACATAAATAATAGCCCTTTTTCCCTCATGATTAGTTCAAGGAAGCCTTTCCTGATGCCCTTGGAATTAGCTTAGGGCCTTCGTTCACTGAGCAGACAGCTGTGGCTATGTTTAAGACCAAAACTACGGGGAACAAAAAAATGAAGTGGACTTGATCACTGACTCAGGAGTTTATAGCCTAATAGGAGACACAAAGGTGTGCAAGTAACTATGACACAAGACAGAAAAATGATTTAGGGACTACAGAATCAATGGAGACTAGTCAGGGAACCAGAGCTTTCTTCCAGCTACAGAAGCCTGAAAGCTTTTTGGAAAAGTTGAGATTTTCTGTTTCAAGTCAAGCCTCAGGTGAAATTGTGAAGTTGTCAATGCGTTTCCCTCCTCCACTCATTTCTGGTTTTGTTACCTCCCTCCTTCAACACTAATCCCACATCCTTCTCCCAAACATCACCATGTAGGCTGCAGTTCTCCAGTCTAGACAGAATTTGATATTAGAAACCTTTTCCAGTGCTACTCAGCTCATTGAAAACTTGCTTTTCCTTCAAGAATTTATTCTGTCATAATTTGTGATGACTTAAGAGATGCTATGTTTTATGGTTGCTAAAGGATTGTGTTTTATTCCACTCTTAGGTAATACAATGTCTGAAATTAAACAGGGGCTTAGAGCTAGCACATCCAAATAAATGACTCATCTTAAATGCAGTGGTGCTGCAGGAAAAGAATGATATATAGGACATCAGGACTTAGGGTTCTCTTCAGTATTACTGCTAATGTAATCACAAGAGGACTGATTCCATTGGCCTTGACTTTCCCATGCCCAGATTTAACAACAGGCGGTAACTTTTAGTATTGAAATTTCCTGCAGGCATTCCTTCTACCTTTCAGACTGAATCTAGCTGGAATTTAAACAACTACTTCCGAACCTGAATACTGATTTTACACATGAAAGTAGAAGCCCTTAGAGAAAGATGAACAGTGAAAGAAATAGAAGAAAAAATAATAATCTCTGGTGAGCAGCAAACAAGATGTGATAACCACAAGGAAACTCTATCAACTCTTGAGACTGTACTCCTTTTACAACTCTTAGCTTAAAAGTTGCAATTAAATATATTAAAATGAATTTCTATCTGTACGTAACTAGTAGAAATTTATAAATTTACCCAGAAAAACAGAAATATTTTTCTGATATATAATATGTGTTTGTCATCACAACACTCTTCTTTCTCTTTAAAGGTACATTTATATTTTGATATTCTAAATGCCAGTATAGCAGGAGAGGGTTTAAAATATCAACATTGTCAAAATGTCAATCTTACTCTGAGTTTAGCTCTAAATTAATTTCTTTTCCCATCATTTTTAAAATCCTGTGCCTGACATCCAAAACCTTTGACTTCTGAACTCATTCTTACTCATCCAACAAACATATTTCCCAAGTAAACAATTTCTCTCCAGGCTGTCCACCCTCCTCACTTCCCTGCATGTATTACATTTCCAACTCTCTGTGTACACAGTTAGCACAGAATACCCCATTCTTTTCATTTCATCTCCACAAATTCTACCTTCTGAAGAGTACTCCACGTACTTGCTCCTAAAGGAGCCCTTCACATCTCAGCTTTTTCTGATGTGTGACCATCTTTACTACACATTTTCAATGTATCTTTAATTCTATATTCTTTCTATTTCATTCAGCAATTGAATATGTTTTTCTTCAACTTTAGAATAAAGTTCACGAAGGCAAGATTTATTGTCTTGCTTTTCTGTCGCTACTGGTTTGTTGGCTATAGCAGATAATCAACAAATGATTTGCAGGCCATATACTGCCATCTGCTGGGAAAGGAAGATGAATATGCAAGTGTCCAAAGAGATAACTGAGGTGATTCGAATCCTGTTTAATCAAATATGATTTTCAGGTTTTAAATGACTAAAACACCTCCTTTTTAGGCTTTGATTTTGAGTCCAATAAACATGAAATTTTACTTTTACAATTAGAAATCCCAATATTATTTAAAATACAAATATAAATCACAATATCTGCTTACTTTACATAAGAACAGTGTATAGTTTCTAAATTAGAAGCTGGAACAGGAAATCGGTATAACTGATATTATAGTGAGATATAGAAATAAATGGAAAAGTATGACCCAGATTATTTTTTCAGAGAGAGAGATAATTTAAAGAAATGATATCAATTTCAGGAAGCGCAGTAGAGACCCGTTGTCTCCAACAATGGGGATTAAAATAGTTCTTAGAGGTAATATAAGCAGGAATAGGAGTGCAATAGCTGTAATGAATGTTCCTTCTCCTTCGTCTTTGACCTTCTTTGCTGTTTTGAATATTTACTGTTGAATAGGGAGAACAAAATTCAAGTTGAAGAGAAAAATGAACTGCTTTTATTTGTATTAACATTATGCTCACTTAAAACATCTGTAAGTAGAAAATTCTGGGAACTTACTCAAATCATATATGAAAAATAAAAAGGTATGACACTCGCCAACCAGATTCTTAACAAAACAGTAGGCTTTTCAATATTCCCAGCTACTGCATGGCAGTATCTAGGCAGGTTTTAGAAAATAATTAGGCTTCTTACTATTGCTATTATGCAGCAAGATGAAGTTCAATGATTTTATGGGTACCATAAATACAGGCTTTTATGTGACTTTCATAAAATAGCATCAGTCTTCAAATGTAAAAGTCACCTGTGGATTACTAATTAAAGAAGTGAAATAGGACAGCCATATTCCAGAAGATTAGCCAGGTAGAAATGACATTAGTTTTTTTAAAAAAACAACCTCTATACTCAGGTAGGAAATGTTAATCAAATGTTAGTTAGTCTGCAAATAAAGTGCAATTGTACTAACTTCCATTTCATTTTATGGGATGGTCTCTGTCCAAAGAAAATTTCTGCAATTGCCTTGATCCTGCAAAGCTCTCGGACAATATTTATAAAATTGATTTTTTTGCAGGTAGAAAGAAACTATGTGTTTTCAATATATTAGCCAACAATCCTTAACCAAGTGTCATTAGTGTCATTATTCCCATGAGAAAACTGACTACATTAAAAAAAAAATTACATGATCTTTGCCCATACAAGATTTCTTCTTGATAGATACTCATTTAATTGACTCAGCTTTACTAAATGCCTGTCACATACAAAGCACTAGCTAAGAATGAAGAGCCTTGCTGAGAGAAATGATATATGGTTAGCTCTCAAGGTACAAGTAATATAAACAACTTAAGCACTTGATAAATATTTGGATTATGAGTAAATAAAGGAGACATGTAGGATTTAGAAGGATAGATTAGGCTATTAAGGGAAAAGACAAAAGAGGTAAAGATGGGGAATTTTGAGAGATTCCAACTTTACCACTGCACAATAAAGAAAAGCCACCTCAAACAGAGTGCCCTTTAATTAGATTCCCTATCATTAGACAAGATGTTGTTGCTAGGTGTCGTCCAGTTGGTTATAACTCATAGTGACCCTACATACAATAGAACGAAACATTGCCTGGTCCTGCCCTATGCTAACAATCATTGTCATGCTTGAGCCCATTGTCACAGCCACTGTGTCAAGAAGATGTATATCCAAATGTAATCAATGTCTTCTCAAATACTACAAAGTAAAAAAAAATAATAATAATAATACAAATAATAATTGTTAGATTCACTTTAAACAATTAAATGTAAAATCAAGTGCACAAGTGTTTGTACCATAGCATAATATATAATTTTAACAATTCTATTTCTCTCTTTGCCTTTGCCATAGTGAGGGAAGTTGTAAAAATTTACTTCCCAGACAATGGCTTTGATGGAAAGGCATCTATGGCAGGCTGGAGAAGAGGGAGTACTGCTCACAGGATGGGAAAAACATATGCCTCCAAAACCATTATCAAGAATAAATAAACTGATCCAGAAAAGAGAGTTTCCCCATGTAAACCTGAGCCTTTTCATAAAACCAAGCTCAACATCTCTAAAACATAGTTTGTCATTTTTTAATTCAAACAGGCGTGGATTTAAAAGACTCCTCATCTTTTATCCAACTCAGACCAAATCTCTGAACATTGTAAGAATCAACCAACTCTCATTCATTTTGTCAACCTTCTACACCCCAATTTCTACAGCTCAAGGAGGGATGAAAACAAACACAGAATATTGACCTTAAGTAACTGATCTACCAAAGTAAAACTTGGCTCTATCCAAAGCCGGAGATCACTCACACATGAACTTACCTCACTGTTGGAGACTTCTCTATCATTAATAATAAATCTGTAGCTGGCATCTGGTGATAAGTGCTCAGCCTGGAGCCAGAAACGAACCTGGCCCTTATCAAAAATCTCATAAGCTAATTCTGATTTCAGAGGAATTGCTACAGGAAGAAAAGAAATCACAAGTCAATAATGCATGAATCCTTGTGAGAAAGAATAGCTGTATATTGTAGGAAAATATCAATCCTAGTTATTAAATCTGAGAATGTGAAACCCTGGAGTATTGAACTGGATTATGAAGACTAAAAATAAAAAATAAAACTCTAGTTAGCCTGTTGTTGTATTTAAAGCTTCATGCTGTGTGGATTCTGTGTGTGTGCATATACAATGAACCTTTCTTTATGTTCAATGACTGCAGACGTATATATTCTTTCTGAATGCCATGTAATTCAATGACTAAAGATTAATTTGATAGACATCTCACTTGAATTAGGAACAGCTATATGAAATACAAAATTCAAAACACTCTCTAGGCAATAAAAATTTCTACAAGCTATAATGTAAGCTAATATTTGTTTCAAATTAATAGGTTACAAGCTCATAAGCTGAGAACATGAAATGAGGCCATCCTTTTCCCAAAGTTGTCTCTTCAAGGGCTCCGTATATTAATGAGTATGGCCCTATCAGGCTTGCAATTATATGTTCAAGGTTATGGTTTACTTACTTGGATTTTTTATTTCATTGCTTAGCGCCATCAGACGTTCAAGCTCTAAAATTAAAAAAATAATAATAATTGATCTGTACCTGTAAATTCAGAAATTTATGAACAACAGTAGAGACTAAATAATACTAAACATTTCACATCTCCAAATTCTAATTTGGGGGTGTGAAATAAATTTTAACTATAAGAGAAAAGAATATATAGGATAACTGCAAACTTTGAATACTCCCTTTAATAAACTAGTAATTTTATGCAACTAAAATCCTCACTATTTAATTAAAACATTTACTCTTGTAGATGAAGACAGGTTAGTGTGGTGGTCTTGTTAGATATGAGAGACTGGAGTGGAGGCATGTATATTCCTGGACAATAGAAAAACTTCACAGAGGAGAGATTTAAAGGGATTAATTTTCACATCTTCAAATTCCATTTAAACTCTTTCCTAAAATTTATCAACCTACGAATTTGCTTGTGTTCTCCTGACTTTCAAAATGTCCTCCTTCATTGCTAAAGAAAAAAACAAAAAAAAAAAGTATGTGCCTCATCCATTCAGAATCTCACTATGGTGCATTACTGTGAGTGTAAAAAACAAAAAAACACACTGCTCCTGAGAGAGTCCTAAAAGAGCAAGTTAAGAAAACTTAAATGCTCTAAACCGTTTCCTCTTTCTTTCTTTCTTTCCTCCCCTTCCTCTCCCCTTTCCTCTCCCCTCCCTCTCTCTCTTCCTTTTCTCTCCCTCTTTCTTCTTATCCCTTCCTTCTTTAACTTCCTTCCTTCCTTAAAATTATAATTCAAAAATGAGATGGTTGGCATGGAAATGTGTATGAACATGTTTATTTGAAGTGAAAAATGAAGTCAGACTTTTCCTGACAGAAAGTAAACTCAATTTGGTTGACTGGTTTGACAGAGAGGACTGACTTTCTCAATTAGGTGTTATGGTGGACATTTCTATGACTTAAATGAGCTAAATCTGCAAGGTTTTGCCTAAAATATATTTAAAGTCTGCAAATCATATAAAATATGCTGGGAATTTCCTCATATTTAAAATTTAAATAAAATATATGTCAGCTTAAAATGGTGTAAAGAATTACATAGCTTTTTTAAATCCTTTAGACCCCAAGGAGGGGTCGCTATGAGTTGAGTCCGACTCAACGGCAATGGGTTTGGGTTGTTGTTGTTGTTATGTGTCGAGTCAGACCTGACTTACAGTGACCCGTCCTTAGGTTTCTGAAGCAGTATCACTATGGAAGTGATGGCCCAACCAATTTGCATGTTGTTGTTGTTGTTATATGCCTTGGAGTTGGACTGACTCATAGCGACCCCTCCTTGGGTTTCCAAGGCAGTATCATTACAGAAGTAGATTGCCCAACCTTCCTTCGGAGGAGTAGCTGGTGGGTTGCCAGCCTTCTGGTTAGCAGTCAAATGCCTTAGGCACTATTTAACTAACACTGGAGCTAGCCTGCACTTGTGAAGCCATCAGAATGAGTCTCTGGTCACCTCCCACACTGGCTGCAGGCCACTCCTCACTATCTCACCATATGCCCCATCCTGTAGCAAGTTTCCTCAGCATCACACCCTCAACACATTGTCAACCAAGATGCTGATTGATAACTAAGGAATTTGTTCAAAAGGCTTAATACATCCTGCAGAGCTTTGCATTTTAATAGAGAACGCTGAACCACTAAAAGCCCAAAGAAACCCAAATCTGAGGATTCTGTCTGGTGCACAGTCCATTCCACATTACTGACTATTTAGTTTAAAACCTTGTAAGGATTAATTATACAAATATTCCCCATTCTAAGTTTGCCACAAACACACAGCTTTTTTCCAAACAAAAATGTCTTTTCTACATTCAGTCATAGTGAGTCAATCTGAAGCCAGATTTCTAGTAGCCTCCAGGAAAATCTTTAACCAGAAACCTTTTAGTGTCAGCAATGCTAACAGGACTTTTGGAATTCTAAACACTCCTTAGGGCCTTTATCTGCCCTCCAGTCTCAGCAGGTATCAAGGAACTTCCTCCGAACTCAGCACGCATCACAAAAGCCACCCGGATTCAGCACGTATTGGAGATTTGCTCGACTCCTGAAAGTCTCCCACATACCTGAGCTGCATTCTCCCTAGATAATATTTTCCTAAGTGAGCTTTGGAGCCGGGGGGTTTCTTTACGTCCCCCAACATCTTAGATCACTGCCCTAAATCCCTTAGCAACAACCAATCATCTGTACCCTCTTGCCCTGGTGCTGCCCCTCCCCATATTGTTCCATAAATTTGTGAGAATATCGGGGAATGGGGTCTTTTGCTTAAGCCACTGACCTGGTAAGGGCAAAGACCCTAACTTAAGTTAGCTAATAAACTTTCCTAGTGCATTTGCATTGTCGTGTGTTGGCATATTCCTCTCTTCCAAGCATCTCCTTTATAGCCTGGGTACAACAATAGCTAAGAAACCCAAAATCTGTATAAGACAAAACCTTGTCAGAGAAGGAAAATTCAGATATTTAACACTAATAGAGAGTGATAGAAAAGTGGTAAGGCTTCACTCTGTCAAAGATGGAAAACTTGCAAGATCAGAAAACGGAGGCAATCCAGTAGAGTTCCAGCTCTCACAGGTTTCACTATTTAGTGTCATCTTTCAGAGTGTTATAAAACCCAAAAAGACAAGCCTATATATATCACATAGGTTTTACCTTCTTCATCCAAAGCAAAACTGGAGGACACACCATCTGTATCACTTACAGACACGGAGTAAGTCCCTACATCCATTTTATCTGGATTCTTAAAGTACAATTTTGAACTAAAAAGGAAGAAGAGTGGGTAAAAGTCAATTACTTGTGTTTTAACAAGTTTTTAAAAGTTTATACTTGCCAGCTTCTATATATGACTTACTGATCTCCAACAGTGTCGATTTTAAACTTCTCAGTATCTGTAATATCCTCATAAGATTTACACCAAGTAAAGTGAGATGCATCTGTCATTTCTTGGCAGTCAAAGCTTAGGTAGATATTGCCTTCTTCATCTACACCAGCACTGATTTCTTTTGTGCCTGAATAGCAAGAATATAATTTGAACATCTTAGGAACACAGCATTCTTTGAATTCTTTTTTTGGAGAGGCAGTTGCACAGGCTGAGAGCTTATTTTACACTGAATCATCAGTTTTTATTTAATCTCCACCTAGGACTGATCCACAGAATAATGAAAGAGCAAAATACTTCAGGAAATAGGTTGATGTTAGAGTAGCTTTTTTTTTTAAGTCATTACATTATTTTCTATTTCCATTTCTGCATCAAATACCACAGCAGAAATCTAGGCCTTAAATATCCCTCTTATGTCAGAGATGTAACCCCTCTAGCATCTCATAGGAGTGGATCCCAAGCAGTTATGTGACAACTACTTGATTACATCTATACACAAGGATTCTTCTCTAAAATTTTTTGGGGAACAGGGGGTAGTTTGTTTGTTTGTTTGGTAGATTTTGACCAAGGTGAACATCTTGTCTAATACAGGCCAGTCATTTTCTACCATATATATATATATATATATATATATATATATATATATATATATATTGCAAATTGGATGAAACACATTTCAGTCTCTACCAGTAAATAAAACTGAGTCTTATTTACTCACATGATCAAATATTCTATATAAGAACCCTGATCAAAACGTGAAAAATGCAGAACAGAATTGCAAATTCTCATGGAATCTAGACTTTCTGGAGCCATGGAGGCTGTATAAACCCCAGAAACTATTGCTCTGAGATATTCTTTAAACTTTAAACCTTCTACATAATTATCCCCTGAAATCATCTTAAAAACAAACAATAGTCTAGCTTAACTAGTTAAGATATCTGCCTTGAGCATTATGCTCTTTTATGAATTAACTTTTTGGTATCAAACTGATAACAGCAACTAGAAAGATTAGATAGGAACCTTAAAGAACAGTGAGTTTATTTTAATGAAGGAACAACTCAGAAAAGAAAAAAAGAATGGTTGTACAATTCAAAGAATGTAATACAAGTCACTTAATTGTACATGTAAAAATCATTGAATGAGTCTATGTTATGTTGTGTACATTCTCAACAACTTAAATAAAATTAGTTATTTTAAAATTTTTCAAAAATATGTGTGTTTAGGTTAATCAAGAATACAGAGAAGCAGAAAAAGCTAGGTGACAAACTACATAACATAAAGCAAATAGCCAAAGAGAAGGAGAAATAAGATATCATCTGCAGAGACAGTAAACATGGCTTTGCAGTTTCTGGTTCCAACATTTTCTGAGACCCGGAGACATATCTATTCCAAGTATTCTGTGAGCTTGCTTACCACCTTTATAAGCACTTGCTCTTTTACAGTAGCCAACAAAATTACCAACTGCTTTATAATTTTCTGATCAAAGCTCACCAGTTATATAAAAGACCACCTTTATTTCTGCACATGATTTCACTGCTTCAAAGAAAAATGCTTGCCAACTATGCAAGATGTTCTAATACACACTACTCCTAACCTGGGGACAACCACCAATCCACACTCTATGCAAAGCTTGAAGATGTACTTTATTCCATTTGCCAGCCCCAGACCTCTGAAAACATGACAAGAGAGCCATTCATCCACACATTATCCTCCTTCTAATTTATTGCCCTTCAAAAAAATATTGCTATTGAGCTGAGAGGTAAGATCTTACCTGGTCTAGCCTCTACAAGCACTGGTTCAGAGGTGTCTGACGGCCTCCCCACTCCACTTGCATTCACTGCGCGGACTCTGAAGACATAGGTTTTCCCTTGGTGTAGGTCACAGACCTTAAAATGACAGAGAAAAAGCCGTATATGTGTGTGTATATACACATGCTCACACACACACACATATATAATAAAGATTATTTAAAGACTTCTTTAAAGTTTTAAGAAGCAAACATGTCACCTTGAAGACTAAAGTACGTCTAACCTAGGCCATGGTATTTTTAATTGCCTTATATGTGAAAGCTGAACAGTGAGTAAAGAATATCAGAAAAGAGTTGACACTTTTGCATTGTGGTATAGGCAAAGAATACTGAAAATATCAAGGATTGCCAAAAGAATGAACAAATCTGTCCTGGAAGAAATGTAGCCAGAATGTTCCTTGGAAGTGAGAATGGCCAGACCTCATCTCGTGTGCTCTGGTCACATTGTCAGAAGGGACCATCCCCTGGAGAAGGATATCATTCTTGGTAAAGTCAGCGAAAAAGGGAAGGCCCAAAACAAGATGGACTGACACAGCGGCTATGATGATGGGCTCAAGTATAGAAAAGATTGTGAGGCTGGCACATGACCAAGCAGTGTTTCATTCTGTTGTACATAGGGTCACTCTGAGTCGGAGCCAATTCTACGGCACCTAACAAGCAACAACATTCATACTAACAAGGAAAAAGAGATTAGCAATTACTCATGATCTCACTTTCTAAGAATAATGTGCTAAAATTTTGGTTTATTCTCCATTATTCTTTATTCACATATTTCAAAGCAGAATTGAAATCATACTGCATAGTTAATAATCTGGCGTTCATATTAATATATATTCTATGTGACTAAACATTATTTTTAATGTGATTTTTTTAACTGTGCAAAACATTCCACCATTTGGTCAAATGAAAATTAAATTACTTTCTTCTTGTCCAATCATAGATTAAATATAGTATATTTCATAACAATAAACATTATAAATAAACTCAATTTCTAATTAACTTGGTCATATACATTCTTAGAAATGTATTGGTTGATTCAAAAGAAGTAGATCTTGTTTCATATTGTTAAATTATTTTCCAGAAGTTTATTGTCTAATTATGTATCTAGTAATGTGTATTCATGTCCCTAATTCAAACGTGACCTTTCTATAAGGGTGCATACTGCATTTCTACCTAAACTACACCATATAGCCCAAAGTAAAAGAAGAAAACCGCTAGATAAAGCAAGTGGGAAAATTAGCCAGGGCATCTGGGCCCACTGAGTCTAAGGGCAATTGTCACAAATAGCCCAGTGAATGGCAAACTGTAGGTATTTAAGTTGGAAATATCTGGAGAGAGAATAAAACAACTTACAAACTATAATTTTGTCATAGGTATTAAAACCATATGTGTGCCTATAAATACACAAATGTGTGCATACATAGCCATATATGTGTAAATATGTGTGTGTATCTAATAGATTTATATTACATAATCATATAAACTTAAGCAAATTAAATATGCAGCTTGAAGTGAAAGGACATAATATAATATTAATAATCCCTGCAGAAAACACATAAATAAAACCTATAAACCTTCAAGCCTGAGAATAGTACCATTAACAGTTGTTAGACTGAAATATGGAAAGAAAAATAAGCATGTCTAGACAGTTCACCACAAGCCAATATGGTAACTTTGTGTGAATTAGAAAAAGGTGCCACTTCCTCAAGACATTTTATTGCCATCTGCTGGAAAGAGGTTGTAATTGTTATATAAATCTGCAGTGACTAATGGTTGCCTGGCATCCCCTTTGCACTTTCTCCACCTGTAAACCGTGCAGCACTGCTACAAAAGTAATAATCAGAGTTCAGAATATTTATTTGAACATTTTTAATTAGGACTGAACTAACTAGTCTGCTATAGGAATCAAAAACATTTACAACCAAAAGGAAATGAATGAATGAATGAATGAATAAGTAATATCACCTTTATTTATTTATCTATTTATTTACTTTACATATGTAGAAATACCCTCTGTGAAAGCTGTACATATTCATTGGTATACTATCATTCTCCTTCTCACATCTGTTCAGCGTATTATAATATTAATAACAATAATCAATAATCTGTAAGTTTGATACCTAGATAGTTACTCAAGCATGCAAATACTATCACCTTTAAATAACGATTTGCAATTGTCTTCTCATTTACTGTGATCCATTCTCCAGTATCTTCTTCTTTATAATCCACAAAGTATCCAGAAATAGGACTATTGCCAGAATATACTGGGGCTTTCCAGAGCATGACCAGTGATGTATTCCTGACCTCACAAAATGTCAAATCATAGGGTGGACCTGAAAAAAAAGAAAAATGAATTTGTGTGTATGCATGAATCTAACTAATGCAGCAAACAGAGGATCTGCCATACTAAACGTAAGCTCCTAGCTTTAGTACATGCCACACACCACAGACAGCATTATTTATTCCTCTTTAAATTTATGTATCACCCTTTCTACAGAAGTGTTGATGAGGAGAGGTGTTTAGCATTATGTTACAGAACTGAAGAGAGCCTAGCTTAATGTTTATGTAGTCTCCTCTGTTAAGCATCCAAGTGATTATGGATATATTTAGAATAATTCATGAGTTCATGTTACATCACAGAGAGAAGTATGTGAAGAAAAGGGAAAAGTGCACATGTTGCCCACCCAATGGACTGGAAACTTGTCAGTCACAGGAAAATCATTCTGAGAACCTGACCACCTGGTCAGGCTAACCACACCTGGTCCACTAACACATGAACATCAACTCTATTTTCTACAAACATCCAAACCAGTTCTAAAAATGTAGGGTGCTGATTCCCCGCATCCAGATTAGCTTTGTGTATTAAAGGGAAAAGTTGCAGTGGCCTGGCTCTGTCTTAACTATATCACACTCCCTCTGAATGTAGCTGGGCATATTTTAGTAAGCACTCAAAGAGGCTGTGGAAATGTCAACAGCTTTTTCTTTCATTGGCTTTTTTTTTTGGCGG